TACATAAACACAGTTTATTAGTTGAGTTTAATTTCACAAATCAATCAATAAATAATAATTACTCTGTATCCTGTTTTCTTCTACTGTCTCTGCTGTAGATTTGCTCTGCCTGGAAACACAAAAACACTTTTTCTGATGTTAAAGTGATATTTGACTCTTGTAAACAAAAGTCTGGTCCTTCAGATCAGGTAAACATTTGTGTTAAACATGAACAAATTTGTCATGGTTCTCAGGCTCTGGAGAGGATGTGGGATGTTTTTGCCTTCACCTCTCCCTCCAGGGCTTCCCTACCTCTGAACCCGCCCTCAACGCATACCTGGGGCTCGTTTACGCTGATTCATCACAAGCAGCAGCGGTTTTAGATACGGGCGACACGGGCGGTTCCCGGGGCGGCATCGTGGTGGGGGCGGCATCACGGGCATCGGAAAAAAAATAAAAAAAAAATTGCTCCTACTCATGCTGGGCGACGTCATGCCAGCGCATACTGGGGATGGCACAGGCACTGGTCGGTTTTCTATCGCTCTTTTGCTGGGAGTAAGAGCGCCCTCTGTTTGCGAGGTGCGCCTGCTGCTTGCCCAGCCCTATTCTCAAGCATCTGTTGGAAAGTCCCAAGAAATTAGTCTAGTCAAGCAAGAATTAGTCTTTCTAATTAACACTGAGCTGATAAGTTGCCAAAAAAATACTGCCTACTGGAATATAATGAACTAAAGTTAAAGACAGCATCTTTCCCTATATATTTTGTATTGTGTGTGTAATTTAATTAAATAACATGTATAAATGGCCCATAATATTTTAGAAATGTGCAAATGATAATAAAAACAGCAAAATTTTATGTTTGTCTGAAATGAGTATTTATTTATTTTCTGTAGATGTACAACTATTGTTATCTGAAATTTGCTGACGTACCATGGGTGGCAGCCCCAATCAGAGTTTGGAGGAACAGACACATTTATTTAAGGTTTAGAGTTCACTCATTTATAGAAATCCTCAATCTACAATCACTGGACCAGATTCTACATATACCATGCGCACACACACACACATTACAACACACGTGA